TCGTTACTTTAATAATACTTTAGTATAACGAGATGATCTACAAAAACCAGCCAATCACAATAGAAGTTCGCTATGCTGTCAAAATCCTGAAAAATAGAATCCTGACAGAGTCAAAATTCTGACAAAATTAGCCAGGATTAGCCAGTATTTTAGGAATTTCCTGTCAGGATTAGTGATGCCTGACGAAACCATGTGATGCTAATTATCACGTTCTATTACTTATAAAAAATAGATTATTTTTTTTATATATTGTACCATGTGACAATTAGCATCACATAGTTTCGTCAGGCATCACTAGTCAGGATTCTTATTTTCGGGATTTTGACCCAAACACATTTTCGAGCTATCAATGTTACAAGATAGTCACATTACGTCAATTATTTAACAAAAATCGAAATCCAATGCCGAAATCTCTGCTCGGTTTGAAAATTTTGGCTTTAACCCAATGTTACAATCTACGGTATTCAATAAAATTCAGATTAACCATTCTCGGGATATATCAGAAATCGCTATATTAGCATCTATGTTCGATAATTTGTGATAAAAATTGCTTAAGCCCAAACCATAGAAAATGGATCAGCCATTCTTGAGATATTGATTAACATACAACACAGATATTTTTAAAGTTATTGACCTATTTTTTGATAATCTTTGACATAAAATGAATGCCATGAGTCTGTAACATTAATTTAAGTCCAAAAACAATAGAAAATAGATCAACAATTCTCTCGGAACAACCAGAATGATTTCAGTTAAATCGATTATATTCAGCTGAGACTAGATCGGTCAACCGGTTATGATTTTAATGTTCGGTTCAAATCACTGAATTAGCGTTACCGATTAAATGTATCAGCCAGCTAAGCCTGACAGTTGATCTACTGATTACAAATAATCCACATTGGCTGACCTTAATGCAATCTACAAAAGATTTATTAGGTCAATTATTTACCATATACCATAAATAAGAGAAATTGCGCTAAAAATAATTAAATATCAAGCTAGAAATCTGTCATTGTCAATCAATAATGCTATTACCAGATCCATATATGTTTGCTTGGCCAGTATTGTGACAAGTATTAAAGTAATGTCGGTCACTGATCGACGGATTTCGGCTATATCATTCGTGAAAACCTGACTAAAATTTTCACAGCTTGCCAGGGCGTTGTTTTCGATGGCTTACCAATTGTCTAAGCTTAACTTACTGTAACACTAGTTATATTTTTGGAAATTTCAATTGTAACGAATCGCGCGATCTCTATACAGAATACAATTGGAATTTAATTATAATGGCAATATATATAACTATATAAAGCCATTGCTTTGGTAATTTTGATTAAATATATTGCAAAATATTTCGACTTCAATTTCGACTTCAGTTCAATTTCAATTTTCAATTCCAATTAAACTACACGATTAAATTATATATTTCATTATCCACAGTTATTCACAATGTTGCTAAAAAAATTATTTTCTTCAATTCTTTTAATCAATTTAATTTCATTCACTAAAGCTCTCGAAATACGTCAGGACCCACCACCACCACCACCTCCTCCTCAACAACAAACCGAATCAACTCCGCAAACTCCACAAACTCCACAAACCGATACGGATGCTTCAAAAGGCTCGAGTTATTGTCCTCCCTACATGCTTTCTGCCACTTCTATGGATCAATTTACTGGCCAAATGACCTTTTATCAAGATCAATCTGGTTCTATGTGGTTGACTGGTCTTTACCAAAACGGATTTAGTAAAGGAGGATATTATTCCTTCTCAATTATGGATGGTTGT